GTAAACTGCTATGGGATTAAAAGCTTAAGAAACCTGCAAGCAGGCTGCAGAATCCATAATTCCTCATAGTCTTTATCACCAGGATTTTGGCATAGTCCTGGCTGCAGAGGGGAGGAAAGGCTGGGACCGAGTCTCAGACAAACAGGGAGATGAAGTGTCTTCTTAAGAGGCYGTAGCTGTTGTGTTCCAGGTCTTCTGCCCTATCACTCTGCAGGAGAGAATTTCTGACTTCTAGTTTCACAAATATCCTTCACTACTTCTTTCATTCAGATAACTTAGTTCAAGAAAGAAGCAAGATTCCCATCATACATAYGTACTTACACACATATATACTGTTTTCTCTAGCATTTCCTAGCTGACAGTTTAAGCATCCTACTTTAAATTTTGTCTCCATTCCTGCACCTTGGTTTTAATTCTGCATCGATTTTTTAAGCAATCTGACAATGACTTTGACAACCTGATCCTTAATRTCTGTTTGATCAGATCAAAAGTATGTTTGTACAATTTCTTTTCCCTTTGTTCGAAATTTGAGGGAAAAATGTTATTCCTGCAGAGAAAATTTGTATTAGTACTTCAGTACTATCAGCAAAGGCTGGATAGTGGAATACGTAGAAAATGACCATGGAAAATGGAACCACTATCAGCAGGATGAGTTGAGGGGTGCCAAAAACAAGGCCAGAATCTTCTTTCTCACTCAAATGTATTTCAGAAATTATGACTGTGTTTAAATCAGTGTTAAAGGGACACCTAGAAGGCTGATGATTCTGAAAGCAAATCTATCAGCGTATTGGCCTGATAGAAATGATCAGAATTTTGAATGGGTTTTTGAATGAAAAAGTTATGTCTTTTATAGAACAGACAACAAAATGGAAGAGTTTAATAGCATGTGAGACTCAGACAATAGAAGGGGAGAAGAAAAGGCAAGAATCTGATTTAGTTAGATGTGCTTAGCATAAATAAAGAWGTGATGCATGCATGGGATATAATATTCAAGGCAGAGGGACTGCAGCTTAGTGGAATGTGTTTTACTGATATATTAAAATTGCTACATTTCTATTGGATTGTAAACGGCATTGGTTGAATCCTAAATACGATTTTGGAAAAGGCTTATACCACATTATTTTGTTCCTGCCACTAGGGCATTAAAATGTGACAGTATGTAAGCTCAGGCAGCAACGGTTTTGTGAGCAGACTAGCATACATTAAAAAAATACACAACATTACCTCAGGTTGCAGTGTCAAGAGAATATGGATTTATTCCATGAAAAAAAAAGAAAGAAAAAGAAAAAGAAAGAACAAACCAGCTTGCTTCTGTATCTAGCGATCTTACAAATTAGTCCAGTGTTTAAGAGTGATACCAACTTCTCATGAAGAGAGGAAAGCTGAAGCCATTTTTAATTCTGAGAGAGGAAGACTATGAGCAGTCACACACCCTTTTCCTACGCAGCTCTCCAACTTCTATCTCCAAGCAGCCCAGAAAGAGTAACGGGCWGTGCTCGCTGCAGTATCAAAGGTAATTGTGTCGCAGGTATGGTATATTGCACCCTAAGCCCCAATTCTTTKTTGAAGCATAGATCAAAGCTCACTTGTCTTCCAGGTCTTTGCAGGAYGCACAGTTCTGACTGCAACTTAAATCTGTTGTATTTAAAATAAGAACTCTAAGGGATTTACATATCTTTATCTCACTCAACTCTGCTTCTGTTCCTTCTCTGAAGTGACAGATGCAACATTTAAATTAGCTAGTTAATATTTAAACATGATTTCCATAAGCTTCATAGTGCCTTGGACATGACAAAAACTCCTTTCTAACTGTTCAACTAAACCTATGAAATACAGCAGGAAACACCATATTGACTAGGCTTTCTATTACAGATAATGGTCAAAATTGTTATGGCTGTAATCTGAAGTAATATCTGCATGAGATGAGTTTCATGATGCACTAATTTTCTCTTGTAGTTGATTTGCAAAGGCCAATCAGGTGTTCCTGCAAGCTGATTTCCTTCATTTTCTGATCAATGCAGCTACCCAGTTTTCCACACTCATGAGACCTGCAGAATGATTGCTAGGCTCAGATCTTGTGATATGACCAAGATCCTTGTTTTTAAAAAGAGAGAGGAAGGGATGCAGGCAGAAGAGACCAGGACAGTGTGAGACCCACAAAGTGTGCTCACACACACACACAAATTCCACTAGAGTGTTCATTTTGTTCCTGACCRTTTCCTCATCTTTCTAAAGCGTTAATACTACACCAGTAGGATGTACTACATGAGAAGGCACGGAAATTGGGGGAAAAAAAGAAAAAAAAAACAAAAAAACCCTACTCAGCACTGTAACAACTGACAAGAACCTGCTGTGCTTATACATTTTTACATATATTTGACATATTTGTATATATGGCTTGCCTTTTACAGGAAGACATTTACATTAAAGATAACATTTTAGATCATTACAAAAAAAGAAAAATTATCTCTTTCTTCTAGCATTTCCAAGAATAGATACAAAATGACAACCAGTAATCTACATTATAAGGTTTATCTTTGTGAACACGGCCTTCTACAGKGAGAATAAATGATATAGAAAAGTAGTCTTTTTAGAAGATATAGTCTGTAGCTGCATTAGAAAAAGACTCTAATGTATTTATATTTGCTTAAAGATTTATATTAATTAAGCTTAAATGCCCATTTCAAATGTTATATGATCATTCTTTTTGATTTATTGTGCAGATAGGTGCAGATGAGTAGGCTCCCATCATTTCTAAAGTTATAATTTAACTGTGGTAAGCCTCAGAAGCACAATTACTATATTGCAGCATGAGAAGAAAAATATTTTTGATGTTCGGATACAGAAGTGTGCTGAAGCTTGCTGTAATCATTTTTCTGAATATAGATATTTTGTCTTTATTTTAAAAATAAAAACTTGGTACAGTGCTATAAATATACTCCTAGAGATATAGTACAGTTTTAATAAAAATGAAAATATCAAGKAAGAAGAAATATCCAGGAAAAGCACTTAAAGTGCTAAAGAGGAGAAAGCTGGAGAGTTGCCAGTGATGTGATGTTATGAATATTCAATATTAGATTCATCACATACTGATGAGGAAGTAATTTTAAAACCTGAGAATTCAATTATGTGTTTTTCATTATAATAAATAGATCATATATTGCATTCAGGATGTATATCTAATGTGTAAAAAATCTGCAGGTAAATCACAGCCATTTTAAGAATGAGAAAGAAATTATCATAGACTTTTCAGATAGCTCTAAGCACATTAGCAGAAAGAGTTGGCAGTGGGAATAAACCTTTAAAGTCAACAATTTTTCTTTTGGTTTCTATAAGAAGTGGTGACAAATAATTAAGCATTTATTAATGTAATAATAATGTGTTTCTAATTTATAACTGTTTTTATGTTTACATACAGTTCCATAATAAATATATGGCCTTGAAAGTTTTCTTTTGAGTCGCACTGCTCAGAACCTGTGTGGCCATGTTGGAGCCATCAATGGGAATGGTAAAAGTGACTTCCATTTCAGGACGATTTACCCACCCTTAGCGCTTTTGGTGTGCACCTGGAAAAGGAGAGCAAATACTCTCCTTGGTGGAACTCAAGTCCACCATCTTGTCTACAAAAATATCATTTTTCTTTTCCAAAGGGGAAAAAAAAAAAGCACAAATTCCAGACTTATACCAAGTAGTGTCCTAATTGCTAGTTGGGATTACGGGGGAAATATTTATGTCATTTACCAGCGAAGAAACAGAAATGGTTCCAGGTTCTAGAAACTGCTTCTAACAGCAATTCTGTTTCTGGAAATTTATTCTCTCAATTTACGAAATAATTAGGTCATTGAGAATCAAAGGTGGAAAAGGTTCTAAAGTAGAGAACTGAAAAAATCATCAGATATAAGAGAGAGCAGCACCTACATATTTGAATATGTATTTATTAAAATGCATGTATTTTAAGATTAATTTTACATTTGAACTATATTGGACTAAAACTTGAAATGTGGTTTCAAAAGGGCAACATCAAAGAAAAAAATATATTTTTTTAACTTGACCTGGACTGCATCTGCAAGGGACCATCTTTAGGTATCCAAATGTTTATATGTGGGATTTATATTCAGGCTCATGAACTCTAATTTGCCTTCATAGCAGGCTTGCCCCAGGAATGTCTGTGTAGGAGACTAATTTAAATGAGCAGCAAGGAAGGATCTTCATGTATCACACTCTCTGCTTTCTGTAAGGATGCCTTTTGCTGATGAATGAGCACATCTGCCTKGCTTTTTCCTTTGCATTTACAAAGGGTGTTAATTATTCAGTTGTCATASTTCCATGCCTTACATAGTATTTTGTGTATTTTAAAATTAGTGACTATTCTAGCTAGTCATTTGTGTTCCTGCAGCTCTGCAAATTCAAACTTTGACATGCTGAACTCATTGCTCTAATTGAAGCTAGTTAGCCACTGAATTAATTACTTCATCATCTAGTAAAATTCTACACTTGGACTGTTTGTTTTGTGCCTTAGTTATTTCTTTCTCATTGAGAGTGTATTTTTAATGCAAGAAATGAATATAATCTAGGTAAGACATATAAGAAGAGGCATGGTACAAGATGCTGCAGTGTAGCATTAAAGTTTTATTGACATCGCTTTGGGATGGACCTGGCACTCACAGAGGAAGAGAGCAGGAACAATCTTGCACACTAAAATCACATTGGAGATAAATTTCTGCCACTGCTTTGACTGTTGTAATGTCCTCTCAGAAGTTATGTAGTGTGGTAACTAGTAAAATGGGAGTGCAACAGTTGAAACTGTTGGTTTCTGGCAGATTCATACCTATACCTGTAGGTACCTCTCATACCTATATAACTTACTTAAACACTTCTATAACTGGAGTTATACTGCAAAATGAACCCTCCTCCCCAGACAAGCATCCACCTGCTGTTGGCACAGTCATTCAAGCAGCAGATCCATCACCCATGCAAGAGAAGCCCAAGATGTTACTCACTCATGGATTTTTGATCTTCCATGTAGYCCATAAATTCAGCCACAAACTTATGTTCTGGAAAAAAAAAAAAAAGGAAATATTAGCATTTCAGTCTATAATAAAGAAGAGTTTTGGTAAACACTTTAATGAATTTAGCAGCCTTAAGCTGTGCTGTGTATCGTATGTTTTGTACGCACTATTGATTACCAGCATGATGATAAAAATTGGAATATTATTCTCTTTAGGCCATTTTCTTAAATAAGAAGTTGACTGTTGAGAACTTATCTTTTATTTACCACACTGAATTACTCAGTGAACTTCTTCAAATGCTACTGTAAAGTGCAAATAAATATCCTGAAGSTGGGACTTAGTGAGCTGGACTTGGCTGTCCTTATACATATCGATAGTAATACTCTCAAAAGCTGCCACCTACAAGGGAAATATGCATGCTATGTCTCGTATTTGCTGCTAATTCAACCTTAATAATGCTCAATTTCCAATAAACTCTAACGAAGAAATATTTATAAAGTTTCTTTAGTTCTTTCTTGGAAAACCTTACATTTCATATCACTAAAAATGTAAATTCTTAATTTTATTCTTACATTTCTTAAACAGAGACTATTTTATTATGATTTTACTTATATATGATACACTGTAGTTCTGAATTATACATGGACTTTGTTTTCTTCCTGCTGCTTAACAAGAGGAACATACTCCACTTTTTCCCCAATGTCACTACTGCAAATCTTCGGAGGAATATGCGGAAGAGAAAAAGTGGCTATATGTACAGAAGTTTCAAATATTTCCTGAAAAAAATGGAGTTTCTTTGCATATATATATCTACGAGCTCACAAGATATAGATTGGCACAGTGCCATTTAATTTCATAGAACTATGGAAAGCTAAATGTATTTAATCCTGCTGAGATTCTGGCTCTTTGTGTTTCCTGTAACAAATCAAAAATATTAAAAAACAGCTGCACCCAATGTTTCCATTTTTGGCAAGYTGTTTAATATACTGCAGTCTAGAAGGAAAAATAGGTAGAACAATTATTAAAGTTACTAAAATTTGATCAGTGGAGATTGATAGCAGCAACCCCATAAGGCAGGGTGAGTAAGGTTGATATCTAGAGGGAACAATCTGATAAAAAAAAATTTTATTACAGAAGACCATATTGAATAGGACATGGCTTTTATCTGAAACATTGTAAGAAAACTTGTAGAAAAGTTTAGACCAACAAAGATAATGTAACACTACAGGCTTTTTAGAATGATTATTTTATTTGAGAATAAGCAGCATATGACACAAAGCACAGTTTGTTGGAAAAATGATAGAATCATACRCACTTAAGCAGTTTTCATCAGTGTGGGTTCAAGTTCAAACTACCTAAGTTCCAGTTGCTTTTTTTTCTGAATTTCATTAATAAATCATTTAATTTAATAAGCAACTAAATATTAACCTAGAAAAAGCAGCAAAAGATATTATTAATTGTCTGGCAAAGTAATTCTACTTTTCTTTCTAAATTATTACTGCCTATTTCATATGTTGCTCAGYACTAAATATCTGCATTGACACCAGTAATATTTCTAATTGCTCTTGGGCTTGATAAAAATTCAAATAAATGAGATATAACTTTTAACTTCAATACCACATCGTCTATTGCAGTCAGAACTTTTGAGGAGGACTTTCCATGAATTTTGCTTTCATAATCAGCAAAACGGAAAATGCAGATATTGCCGACTATCCATATTGTGCACACTGACCATGGTGGGGTTTTTCAGCAGGCCTCCCTCCTCTGCTCTTCTGTATTTCTCTACTACGATAGGTTATTTTTGTTCTGTGRTTTGTGCTTATTAAAAAAAAAAAATCAGAAAAGACATAAAGCAACAGAGAATTGGATCTCTGACATTTGACACAATATAAGGAATTCTTGTCCTTAATCACTTAAAATTTCTTCTTCTGTGTTTTGTTCCAGTTATATTTTTCCTGTACAAGAGCAGTTAGCTCTGCCAAATCTTTTCACATTGCATTGTTTGAAAATGATTTGTCCATGCAAAATGTCGTTTTGCCTTCCCTGTATTTTTTTCATCATATTATAGCTTTTCTGCAAGTACCATCTTTTTCACAAATATTCTAAGTTTCTTCTTTGAGAGTCAGAAGTATTTTCTAGTCAGTGACACTTACATATGCATTTTTGTGAAAGTGTTATCTTAGATGAACTGTTTTATTTTGACCCTTCAATGTCAATAGAGACAAAGTATGAATTTAGCCTGTCTGTGCTGCTTCTTAACATATACTTTCAGACAATATGCCCTCATGCATTGACTTCACTTCACACTTCATTCCAAATCCTTTTGATAACTCCTAGAGCAAACATATAGACTGGGCAGGAAAGAAGATTAACCCTTCAGTCCCAAAGGTAAGGAGCCTATGACTGGATTAGCACAAAAAATATATTAGTAGGAAGACARATAGAGGATATTATCATCTGGGCAAAGGACAAACGCTACAAAGCCCCATACATCTACTAAAAGCTTAGTAGTGGAGCACAGTAAATACCTTTGAATAACAGTCTGTTATTGATGTCCAGAATCTATACACTGGTAAGTTGGTTAGGATGTTTAGTAGCACTGACAATAAGAGAAATACAGAAGACCATGGCTTCTAGTATGACTTACCTGGAWAACTGTAGAAGTGACAGAGGCAGCTTCTCTACTTAATAATTTGATTTCATTGTAGGAATTGGCAGGAAGACTAAATCATCTGAGAATATCATTCTGCATGGACTACCATAACATCCTCAGTTTCTTTGTGTAAGTTCTCAGATTGCTCATTTTGTACCTGGCAATCTTGCTGCATTTGTCCAGATCTCTCCCCTGGGTACGACCAGAGGCAATTTATTGTGAAGGATAAATTAAGAAATGGAGGGGTTTTTGAGTGTTGGCCAATCTCTTAATCAATGATACAGCTCCCTTGAAGGAAGGGTTGGATGTCCCACATGAACCTGAGAGTTAGTGTTAAAATATATAGGATCAYTGGATATGATAGTTCCAAGATAACAATTGGTGCTTATTGGATTGGTAGGGGAGAATCTGTTGATGAGAAAAAAGTAACAGTGATCATTTATGAGTGAGTTTACACTGAGAAATTGCTCTGTAAAAGTCAGCAAAATCAACAGAAATAGTAGTCASCCTTGCAGTGASTTACAAGCCTACAAGATTCTGAGATGAGAGTGCAATTTGAGAACTGGTGTCAGAAGCATCAAAAGCATGGTTCCAGCCAAGAGAGTTCAGAGCAAATCAACTATCCCCTTGAAAATACAAGTATTAGTGGGAGCCCAAGAAAGGTACATCAACTTAGGAAGAGGGAAAGCTTTCTCATACAAGAAATTACTAATTTAACCCATATTGTAGCTTTTTTTCACTTCAGAGACTTTCAGCTTCACATGAGTGAGTAAGCTCTACAGCTAAACATAGTAGTACTGCAAGCATGAAATGATTCAAAAATTGATTTATTTGTGAAAATCCAAAAATGACAGAACACATTCAGGAATCCAAAAGAGTGGGAGCTCGTAGAGTTTCTTTCAGTGTTTTTACAATTAGTAAGTATTTTATAGTCTGCTAATGCCAAAGAAGTAACTAAGAATGAGATACAGCAGAGCCAGATGCTCTTTAAAGACAGAATAGTTGGTAATCCCTGTCCAAAGAAATGCAATTGGTCAACAGAGATTGAGTTGATTATAAGCAACAAAATAGAAGAATGAAAATATGAATGAAAACAATAATGGTAGCAAACAGCATGTTACTCCCACAGTATTTAAGGCTAGATAAATAGAAGGAAAAGTGAAAGGAGAGGCGACCAACAGGCAGAACCAAAAAGAAAAAAGAAGACATGAAGTTGTCTTCTTTTGAAGAATGAAACTGAGAAGAAAAATAATTAAAAGAGAGCYCTGTGAGAATCTCCATGTTTCTGCAGCCTCTTCAAGAATATTTTCTTCTACAGCCTTGTGGAATTAGTCATCTTATGTGAGTCTCCCTATAATAACTCTGATTTGAGAGCAGAGGTGAGTCAAATTCCTCTTTTTTCACAGAGGATACTGAGATGTTATTCTACCAACTTTCATTATCTGGACTTTTCAGTCTAACCACCTCTGTTTTTATACATTCAAAAATTATAAAAGACATGCAGTTATCTAATTTAAATATTTGAGTTTCTTGGCAGCCTTCTTTAATTTTGAATTACATACTTTTCTGTGTATTCAAAGTTTTATTCAGCTATGCTAACGCATGTATTGTTAGCTTGTATTCCATTTTCTATCATACTCTTTTTTTAATCATTCTTTAGGTCATCTGCCAACTTTGTCAGAACTGATTTTGTTTTCTTCCATTACTAAAAATGCTAAATAGAGTGAGATCAAGAATCAATCTTTATGAGACCTGACTAGAATCAACCCCCTCAGTGACAATTACCACTGCGTTTTGACTGCTGGTTATTCAGCTTCAACATAGTCAGTGCATGTCATGTTAACTTTCTTAATCTAAATGTCATATGGAAACAAGCAAATATCTTAATGATATCTTATTTTACCTTTTATTTATTGGTTTATAATATTTTGGGGAAAAAAAAAAAAAAAAGGAATACCAGATGGAATACCAGATGAGGCTGATTGTGTATATTTTCAAACCCGTATCTAAACCTTTAATACTCAAGCAGGACTATCCATTCTGTTACCTGGTTAGGAAACATGTAGGCTGCTAGATTTATAATTGACCATCCTGTTTTATACCTTTAAATACTGAGGCAGCACTAACTTCAATAATTATCTGAGCATATAAACTTAAAGAAAAAGTATGCTAGGTTTCATTACCTGAGTTACAGCTTTGCAGTATCACTGGAAACTGTCACTTAATACTAGCCTCTCCTCTGCAGCTGAGTTCTATGTACATGGATTTTCTGTCAGAAAAAAAAAAAAAGGAAAAAAATGTCTAAAAGGCTTTCATTTTCATCAAATAACAGAGAGTTGCATTTTGATTAAAAATAAATACTATTCATATCCCCTGGGCATTCAAAATAGATTATATTGATTAGGGGAAGTCCAACAGAGCAATATAATATAGTTTAATGATATAAGAAAAGGAAACCCAGCCAATATCTAACACTCCTACAAGAGACTGCCATTAGAAATGCAGTTAAAACCTAGAGATTGTCAGATACAACCAGGAATAGCACACACACCAAATGTTACTGCTTTTGTATTTGCAGAACACATGGAGTGTGTCTCTTTCTTTTGAACAACAACGTGGAATTTATTCTGTGGGGAAAACAATATGCTTAATTTTGTTAGTAGTATCATATCTTTCCATATCACATCATCTGTGTTTTCTTCCAGTTTGCTCCAGGTGAAGCTGTTTTGTGGATTTTTTAAATTGTTAAGACTCATTAACCTTCACTTATTACTTGATTCTGATCTGGAAGAAATTGCCACTATATATATATGGAGCCATTATGTGAGTAAGCTCAGTACTTATTTCCTTTATCAGCTATCATTTCTCGTCTTCTATTCTTTTATTTATTTTCTTTTTTTTTTAGTTAAAAGCTAGTTTCCCTGGAACATTATGTTAGTTTGTGTGCTGTTAAGCAGCAAAAGTTGCACCTTCATTCAAGAGGCCGTAGATTAGTACCCACAAATGCTTTGCATTTTACATTCAGATTCTATAATGTAGTTAACAATTACACAACTTACTTCTTTGACTCATTCATTTATTTTCAGATACTTCATGCTGCAGACAAGAACAGTCTCAAATTTGAACTGGAGAAAAAAAGGTTGAGGAAATTAGAGTCTCCCTGTCTTCTTTACAGTGGCTGCAATCTGGTATAAAAATTACACTACTAGAGAACACTAATGTGGTAGGGACAGTAAAACCCTGTTATAAAACAGTTCTACTCACAAATTTAAAGAACAGCAGCTTAACATTGCACTTGTAAAAGCTGATTTTGGATAACTAGATAACAAACAAATCCACTGTCTTTTACGTTACCTGTGCTTGTAATGGCACACAYAAGAAGAACATGTGAATCACCATTCTGTGATCTATGATTCTATGTGAAGAGTTGAACGTTGTGACTTCTCTCTTGGTTTCCTTCCTTCTGTCTCTTTATGGCAGTGGTTTGTGGATTTCTCAGTAAAACTAAAAGTAAGATTTTTAAAGGTAGTTAGTCCAATGAAAAATTAGATCGATATTGACTCTATTTTTTTTTAAAGTATGTCACTGCGGRAAACATAGTGATTTCCAATCCCTAGACTCCCATATATGTTCCTAAATACACACCAAATGTCAATGTTACCTTTCTAAAAATCATGCAATTTTCAAAAATGAGCATTCAATTCCTAAAATACAAGGACACTTTTGAAAAATGTATTTTAGAAAATTATCTCTCTTTAAAGAGTGCAATGAAAGAGAGAGGATACAGTGGTGTGCAAAATAGTTGTACTGTTTGAAAATTTTGTAGAGAATAGTAGTTATGCCATATCTACTAGGCTCCTAGCTACCAGATATCAAAGGGAGCAAATCAGTGAACTCTCCTAYAAAGCAAAGACATTTTGACAGTATGACCACAAGTGAAATGCAAATTGTTTATATTCTCTTACTATTTGTTTCCACAATAAAAAATGGAATTAACTAAAGAAAGGAAACTACAAGTGCTACAAGTGCTACAAGGAAACTACAAGTTATATTCTGATKTTCTGTGTCAATTTCTTCAAATTCTGACTTATTCAGCATTTAAGTACCTGAAACAGGGAAAGAAATAGACTCCAGTGGAAGATAATTAAATTGAAATCAAACTGAGTTTCTCTCAAATTACTTTTACTCTTGTTTATACAGTCTATGAATTARCTATTTCAGGGTTATTACCTGGTATATTCCTTTAATGTATGTGCTCTCAGTCCTTTCAACCCAAACTGCTTTAAAAATTTACCCTTAGAAGGTCATTCTGTAGCCAGATTCCTATCTTGAGTTGCTTGATTTCAGCAAATTTACATTTGAATTGAATCTGTGCTATCAACTTTGATCCAAGACCTGTTAAGGTCCACCGGGAATATTGTCGCTGGCAAGGAAGAAGTTCACACTTCGTTAAATGGTTTGGGGAATGAAAGGAGAGTCAGTGTTGCAATAAAAGATGCTGATAATTTTCCACAAAAGATACTGATATTTTCAGATTCTTGTATAACACCTCTTCCTATGCCATGTAGTGGTGGGTTATATCATCCATATGGAGTCCTCCTTGAAGCGAGTGCAGCTACACTGCAAGTAAACTTGTCCCTTTTTACTTCTCTCATCCAGGAAAATCCTTTAAATGTATTTGTCTTTAGTAATATGTTATCAATTCCTCTAGACCATGTGCTGTAGCAAGGGTGAAAATGATGTAATCTAATTCTGACTATTCAAAAATTCTATGTCATCTAAATCAGTCATCTAGGCTTTCTTTATAGTAGTTTGACCATAAAATGCCTCTAGAGAGTGATTCATTCCCTCTAAAGATGATTCTAATACAGGTGTTTTTAATTGTCCTCTGGAGATGCTTATCCTTCTCTATTAATTATTGAGAAAAGCTAGACAACTAGTGAGGGCAAGGCAATTAAAATTAGGCAAGATGAAAGTAGGCCCAAATGTGTTCAGTGGGATTTAAAAAATCCAGGCTGCTTTCCTTAAAAATAATGGCAAAATTTCTACAGAATTATACAGAAATGGTAGGTTAATCGCATTTTTTTCACTCAATAATGCTGTTATATTACTATTTTAATTACTGTTTTT